TGGGGGTTTTCGATTTTTGGGGTCCAGACGGGCCCAACACGGCCCATGAGGTCCCAAAGCCCGTCTCAAGACGGCCCCAGAGGCCCACACAAGAGGCGGAAAACTGTACAAGAGGGCGCCCAGACGGCCCCCGAGGGCCCCCAAACAGCCTCAGAGGGCCCCAAGAGGGCCCAAGAGGGCCCCAAGACGGCCCAAGAGAGCTCCAAGAGGCCCACAGAGGGGCCAAAGAGGTCCCCAAGAGGGCCCCAAGAGGCCCCAAAGAGTGCCCCAAAGAGTGCCCCAAGACTGCCACAGGCTTTCAAGACCTCCCAAGACAGCCCAAAAGGGCCCCAAGACGGCCCAAAATTGCCCCAAAAGGGCTCCCAAAAGGGTTCCAAGAGGATCCCCAGAAGACCCCGGACGGCCAATGGCCTCCAAGACGCCCCAAGACCAAAGGGGCCTCAAGACGGCCCAGAATTGCCCCACAAGGGCTCCCGAAGGGCTCCAAAAGGGCCCCAAGAAGATCCCGACGAGGCCCAAGAGACGCTCAAGAACACCATGGCTCCCATCAGCGAGCGGTGACGTAACAAGCTCTTGACACAAAGGCTCCCCAGAGCGCGGTGACGTAAAGAGCTCGTCACACCAAGGCTGCCCAGAGCGAGCGGCAACGTAAAAGTCTCTGCGGGCTCGTTGTATAATTTGTGAAACTTTGGCGCCTGCGGCGGGCTTCTCCAGAGTTTCGCCAACTGCTGACGACGTCCCCACCGCCCCCTCACTCTTATCCGCATCTGCGCGGTGTTCCGGTCACATCTTGCCTGTCAGCACAACAAAGAATTTGCAAACTACTGGCCTCTTAAGGCGTTTTAGAGCGTCGGGAAGCCGAAAAGGCGAGAACGCCAAAAACATTGGAATACCACAGTACAATCAATGGTTTGAGCCGTTCTGGGCCTTCTGGGGCAGGGGAGCCGTTCGAGGAGTTCTTGAGACCTCTTGGGGGGCCTCTTGGATGCTGTGTGGGGGCTCCTTGTGGTATCTCGTGTTCTGGGGGGTCCCTGTAAGGGGCTTGCGGGCCTTTTGGCGGTCTGGGGAGGGGTCGTTCTCTGAGAGCGGCGACCTCGGAATGTCAGTTCGAGTTGCCCCTCTTGGGCCCCTCTTGGGGCCCTCCAAGGACCCTCTCGGGCTGTATTGGGCGCCTCTTGGGCGCCTCTCTTGGGCGCCTCTCTTGGGCCGTCTTGGGGCGCGCTTGGGGGTTTCCTATGTTGTTTTAGGTGATTTCTGGGGCCGCGTAGGCCGGCGTGACGGAAACGACGAATATGCTACACGTATAGATGTTTCTAAGTGATTGGTGTGACTTTTGCCTCGAAGGGCCATGTCCGGCTTCCTTTTGGAGGCCTCCTTGGGGCGTCTTGGAGGCCTGTTGGGCCGTCGTGAGGCCATCTTGAGTGTTTTTTTTGATACCGTTTGAGCGTGTTGGTGCCCTTCTTGAGCTGGAGGCGACGGAACCCCCTCTCGAACGGGATTCTAAACCACGGGAGGGCGAAAGGGGGAGCGGGACAGCCAACCATCTCGCACGCGGGGTCAGCAGGGCAGGCTTTCGCACCCAGTAATCGGGGGTCGGTGGATTTTTGCTGACCAGGATCCGAGCGAGAAAATGAGATTCCTCGCCGTACCTTTTCCTCCTCCTCCTCCTCCTCCGCCTCCTCTCTTCGGCAGTCCAAGGCATCCCTTGCCCTTCTGCAGTTAGGCTTCTTGTGCCGACTGCGTCTAAGATATTCGGCCGCCCTTGTCCCTGGAAGGTGAGGGCTCACGCCTACCAAGAGTGCCCCCCCCCCCCCCCCCCTGGCTTGCAATCGACTTTGCGTAGTTGCGCACCCCCGTCAGTAGCTCCCTGTTGAGCTCTTGCGTGGATCATCGAGTTTCAAGTTTCCGAGTTTTCCCTCCTACTCCTCCTCCTCCTACTCCTCCTCCTCCCTGGCTCCTCCTTGCATCCTTGCTCTTCACGGGTCACGAATTGGTGAGTCGGAGGAGGAATGATTCGGATGACGCCGGGACTGACTCTGACCAAATCGAAGGGATTCCCTTACGCTCACCACAACGGGCGGAAACCAGGATATGATTAAGAGGATTCGGAGGGTGAGGATGAGGAGGAGCATGAGGATGAGGAGGAGGAGGATGAAGGAGGAAGATGAAGGAGGAGGTTGAAGAGGAGGAGCCGGATGATGAGGAGGAGGAGGTGAAGGAAGGAGGAGGAGGAGGAGGAGGAGGAGGAGGAAGAGGAAAATGAGGATGCGGAGGAGCAAAATGAGGAGATAGATAATGGAGGGGGGCCTTATGCTGAGGAGATACGTTGCAGGCGTAGGTGTTTAGCTCATCGCAGGAGCTCGACGAACTCAACATCGAGTGTCGGCAGTCGCTCCAGGACCTGTCGCAGGCCGGATTCTGTCCCGCCGCGATCTATTATATTGTGAAGGCCTTGCGGCCTGTGCCGCCGACCCTGAAGGCGGGACATCCCAGGGGACCTCCGCTGGCGCCTCCCCCTTGGACCCGCCCGGACCCTGGGAGGGGCGGTACTATATTCTGACCAGGACCGCCCTCCCCCACCACAGGCGGGACCTCCTCCGGGAAGCCACCCCAGGACCCCCCCACAGGGGGCACCCCCGCCTGTCCTCCCTGTCCACAGGGGTGGCCAGGGAGGGAAGGGGGGGTCGCCAGGACCCCGAGGGGGCGGTAGTCTGATCCGGGACCCTCCCCCCCCCCATACCCCCCCCGTCCCCCCCCCCAACGCCCCCCCGTCAGGGAGGGGAAAGGGGAGGGCATCGACTCAACCACGACGTTTCTTTACTCTGTTCGTTTCTAGATTTCCTTGGGACTGGCGGCGACGACGACGAAGACGACGACAGCGTCTCACACAAGCCGAGGGGTCGGCGGATTCCCGTGCTAGTTTTGCTATTGGCGCCACTGGTGCTGCTATATTGCAACTGCAACTGCTACCAGCTGCCAGGATATATCCATGCCCACCGGCTCGGAAGCGTGCTCCAGGATCTCGATGACGTCTCGAGGAGTGGTGGAAATGGATATCAGCCTGTCCTAGGAGGTGGGGGAGTACCCATATCCACCGTTCCCCAGGGATGCAAGGCATGACCCTAGCAGCTGTGAATGCGGACGTTTCCTGTCGGTGCATGCTATGTCTCGACCACGTCCCGAGAAGCAATTGGGCAACACGATGCTCGATTGCAAACCCTGGTCCTGGACGGATGCAGATCGTTCAGCTGGCAGGCCCCGATTAATTACGATGCCGCGACCCCTCCCCTCATGACCTGATGCTTCTTCTCCGTTCGTCACGTATCACGCCGTATATTTTTTTAAGTGGAAGCATGACTGTGTCTGCCCCTGGGGGATCCACTCGGGGCTCGGGAGCTGACAGGCCCACCGACTCAAAACTCGACCACCCAGTACTGCCCACTTCCTGCTATCCGCTGCCCACCACCTACAGTCGGGAACTTTGGCTTGGCATGTGGCGCCTCCGGTTCTGGCCCACCACGGTTCGGCGCGACACGCTATCCACGTCCCAGTCACGAAGCGTCAACGTCCCGAGTTTTTCCCAGCCTCCCGCCCCGCCGAGCGGAGCGACACGCTGTCCGCTTGCAGTGCATCGCGTGTTGCCGGGGCCGCCGCCGCGACACGCTAAGCAAGAGTTGCCGACCGTATTCCCCAGTACCTTCTAGAGTCGAGTTGCTGTGCAACAGCAGCAACACACTGCCTGCTCACCTCCTGTCCGTGGCAAGTCTCGCCACCTTGTCAGTTCAGCGCTCAGTGTGGCGACGCGTCGGGGACTGCCTGCGCCGTCTTGGAGCTGTCTTGGGCTCCCGTGCGGCCCTCTTGGGGCTCTTTTGGGCCGTCTTGGGGCTCTCTTGGGCCGTCTTGGCGCTGTCTTGGGCCGTCTTGGGCCCCCCTCGGCCGTCCGGGCAGCGCCCTGAGGCTGTTTTGGAGGCCTCGTGGGGCCGTCTTGGGGCCCTCTTTTGCTGTCCTGGGCCCCTCTTGGGCCGTCTTGGGGGCCTTCTTAAGGCTGCTCAGTCGCCTCTTCCGTGGCATCTCTTTGGCTCCTCCGAGGTCGGCTTGGAACCATCTTGAACCGAAAAGTATGGGAAACGCACAATGTGACAAAGCAAGCAAGGATCCCCCAAGACTTTGGAATGATGGTGACCTTCCTGGAGGGCCTCTTGGCTTCCCCTTGGTTGGCTTGGAGGCCTCGGCATCTCTGGGGCCTCTTGGGGTCTTTTTGGGGGCTGTTCGGTGCCTGTTATGTGCCTCTTGAGGCATTGTTGGGCTATCTTGTCGGCCTTGGTGGCCTTCTGGAGCCTCGGGATTGCACCCCACATATTGCCTCCCATAGAGTACATCACACGTATTGCACCGCATATGCAGCATCCTACAATATCGTGCGCCACTTTTTAGTGTACATCGACAGGGCAAGAACACCCTATTTGGAGTCCACGCTGGCGAACATTTGGTTAATCATTGTTTTCGGTGTTTTGGCTCCCTCAAGGATCCTCGTTCGACTGCCTTAGTGTCTCTTAGGTCTCCCTGAATTCTTCTTGAGGCCTCTGGAGGGCATCCTGGGTATCTAGGAGGCGTTGTAGGATGGATTCGGAGGCTCTGAGGCGTTGGAGGAGCTCCTGCCCCTTCTCCCTCTACCGGGTTCCGCACCCCGGGGGGAGGGGAAATCAGGAGAGGGGGGCGGCCAAGCATCTCACACGCCTTCTCGCGCCCGGCAAGCGGGGTTGGGGTGTTGATTGCGACTCACCACCATCCACTGCCTGGTGCGTAAGACCTGTTGCCTTTTGCTCGCCACCTGCCACCGACGACTAGCTCAGCGACGAGCAGGGCGCCGGGAACCCCGGCCGCAAACCACCACGGATACCATCACGCGAACTTCACCAATTAGCGGCTAACTTCACCATCGCGCGACGCAGAACAGCTTTCCAAAAATTGGGGAGTGGCCTCCCAGAGCGGCGTTCATCAGACCCTCTGGTTGTCTGACCGCTTGAACGGCCCTATTGCCCCCGCCCAATAGGCAGTTCCGTGGCAAGCTGACGAATGCCAGGCTCCCTCTGCACAGCAGACTACGGTTTCTCAGCGGAACGTTGACACCAGCGGTCCTGCACGGTGGCACACCGTGGGCATGGACCAGGGGTATGCTTCCAACGCTCCGACGTGCCCAGCGACGAGTGCTACGGCTCATTGTCGACACTGCGAAGCGCTGGCAGATACCGCAAGTCGTAAGAACAGCGGACAACGGCGACGCTTCCGATTCTGGACAGCACGACAGCAGCACAAACGACGGCAGCACGATCGACGACAGAAGACACCTTGGCTTCGACGGCGTCGACGATGACGACGACTCCGACCTTGAGTCTTGGGATAGTCTCATTCGTAGAGCTACGCACGCAGCAGCAGAGCTTGCCAAGCGCGCGCACGTGGAGGAGTGGACCACCCCACATAGTAAGCCCAAGCGGCGATGGGCCGGGAGAGTTGCAGCACAACCGCGTCTCAGATGGGCCTACTTGGCTGCGGCGTGGGAGCTGGACATCCACGACCCCAGGGCAGCGCACCGCCGACAGCGGACAGCGCAATCGGTGGAGCCACGATGCTCCGTACAGAGTCTTGACATACGGCCACGGTTGGGATCGACACGTTGGCACATGATGCGACAAGTATCGGTTTATGGGAGAGATTGGAGACGGGCTCCTTGAAGATCCCCGAGAGATGAGAGGGCTCCAGCCCACTCGCGCCGCTCCCAAGGGGCCTGTCTGCCACCCGGCCCGCAGACTCGCGCGCCCTGCGTCTTGCGTCCTGCTGCGTACTACTTGTGCCTTCTGCCACCAATCACTTACTACCCACGACGACCTGTTTCCAAGGACGTACGACCTCCTATTTGCTGCACGCTTCCTACTACCTGCTACCATCTACGACCCACGGCCACATCGCATTCCGTGTAAGCCACATCCTGTGTTTGCCTATTCCCTGCGCCCTTTTCTGCTACTTGCTACCTTATGCCTGCTGCTCTCGACGAGGCCGTTGAGACTTGGTGCGGTTACTTGTTGCAGTATTCGGTCCTGAGTGCGCTGGCCCAAGACTGGAGCTCGAAGACGGCCCCGGAAGGCTGAATTGGTGAGAAAATTACCGGGCTGTTTTTTTGCACCACGGCTGGAAGGCTGCTTCCCTTGGCATTCCATTTCAAAATTCGCGACCTGACTGGAATCTCAAGGCGAATCCAGTCGCGGCGACGAGGGTGCCCAAAGAAGCCAGAGGAACCTGGATTTGTTCCGAGCTCCTCCGTCTTCCACGTTTGTTGTTCTGCGCAACGGCGAGTTGCGCGGCATCCTCGCGGTCGAACCTGTCTTCCATCCCTCTCCTTCCAGGCCCTCTGCTCCTCCTCCTCCTCCTCCTCCCTCTCCTCTTCCTCCTCCTGCTTCTCCTCCTCCTCCTCCTTACCCCCCTCCTCCCGCTCCTCCTCCTCCTCCTCGACCAGAACAAGAGGAAGCTCCACCTGATGATGAGGGACGTCGCGCAGCCGAGCGTACCGCCCGAATCAGACGAGCAGCCGCTGCCTTCGCCCTTGACAGTCCGCGGCCTGCTGCAGAAGGCACTCGAGGAGATCGGCGGGCGCAGGGCTCTGGGCGCGGCGCCACCAGGCGCAATGGAGGAGATACTACAGAACGCGGTAGACGCAAAAGATAGCAGGTGAGAATGCCATTGTGTGCATTCTTTTTCATATCAGCAGCGCGGGGCAGGCTCATCCTCAATTTCGGCCTCCTCCCCAATGCGCTGCGCTACGTATCGGACGGTGACCGCGTGAAGTGATCATCTAATGACGGATCGTAGTCGCCTCTCACCAGTTTCACGCTACCGCGAGGTCCGCCCCCCCCTGTTGGCCCATACTCGTTGCGAATATGGCTAACGCCTTAGCTGTCCTTGCTCCCTGGGGTCTGTTCGTGCCTTACGCGTCGGTGCGCGCGACCCTGGGGCCCAGCCTACAGGCCCGTCGGGGCCCGCTGGGCCCCTTCTGAACTTCATGACTTTTTTAGTCGTCCGACGGGTGCACTCTCGTACATATTACACGCCTGTGTGTTTCACTTGAATACCCACGAGTTTTACACGCATTACATACACGAGCTTGCCGCACGCTGTTCAGTCCGCCTCGGCACAGCAGGGGCAGGGAGAGATGCGGGCCCAGAGTCGTCTTTCATTCATTCACTCCTCCTCCTCCTCCTCCTCCTCCTCCTCCTCCTCCTCCTCCTCCTCCTCCTCCTTCCCCTCCTCCTCCCCCTCCTCCTCCTCCCCCTCCTCCTCCTCCTCCTCCTCCCGCTCCTCCTCCTCCCTCCCGCTTCCTCCAGGTCCTCTCCGGCCCCCCTGCCCCGCCGAGGCGCAGAAGCAGTTCGAGCGGCTCAAGCGCCTGCACAAGAAGCACGTGAGCATTAAGGACGCGCGGCCTGGGCGGAATTGCCTCGGGTCGGCGCCCTCCCGTGGGGAGCGTGGAGAAGGGAGGATGGGAGAGGGATGATGCTGCTGCTGCTGCTGCTGCTGATGATGATGATGATGATGATGATGATGAAGTTGTTAATGATGATGATGCTGATGACACTGATGATGCTGCTGATGATGATTATTACTATGATGATTGACACCTGTGGCGATGTCGATGCTTGCGCGGATGACGCCAATAATGATAGCGACGATGATGCCACTAATGTTGCTGCTACTGATGATGACCTGAATGATGACGCTACTGCTGATGATGACGATGCTGATGACGATGATGATGCTGATGATGATGCTGATACTGATGCTGCTGCTGCTGCTGATGATGATGATGATGATGATGATGGTGCTGATGATGATGAGGCTGATGATTATGATGATGCTGCTTCTGATGATGATGCTCCTGCTGCTCATGATGATGTTTTGTTGTTGTTGTTGTTGCTGTTGAGTGTTAATTACTAAACAATTATTATTGTTGGACCCCCCCAGGCGCTTTGACGCTGTCGCCTCGGCGCTGGCTACATTTTCATTGAAAATGAGGCTCACGCTCGAGCGGTTTTGGGGGGCGCCAAAGAGGCCCCCCCAACAACAACAACGTTCCCGCTCGAGACCTCCTTTTTTTTACACAGAGCCGGTGCTCTTGCTCGCCGCCGAAAGCCGCCGCCCCAACAAAACCAACGCTCCAGCTCGAGACTTCTTCCTGTTTTACCTTGGACTGGCGCGCTACTCTTTCTCTCATCGGCGCCGCCCCCAGCAAGAACAACGCTCCCGCTCGAGACGTCGTCCTCTTTTACTCAGAGCTGGTGCTTTGCTCGCCGCCGAAAACCGCCGCCCCAACAAAACCAGCGCTCCCGCCCGAGACTTCCTCCCGTTTTACATTGGACTGGCGCCCAAGTCTCTTTTGTTTTGGCGCCGCCCCCAGCAAAAACAACGCTCCCGCTCGAGGCTTCCTCCCTTTTTTCCTGAAGAAGGTGCTGTTCCTCGCCGCAGCCAGCCCCCGTCCCGACAAAACCGCGGCTCCCGCTCGAGGCTTCTTCCCTTCTTGCTCAAGGCGGTGTTCCTCCTCGCCGCCGACAATCGCCGTCCCAACAGAACCAGCGCTCCCGCTCGAGACTTTGTGTTGTTTCACGCTGGACTAGCGCCCTATTCTCTTCTGCATTGGCGCCGCTACTAGCAACAACAGCACCCCTGCTCGAGACTTCCTCCCTTTCTATTCAGGGCCAGGTCCTTGCCTCGCCGCCGACAGCCCCCATCCCCTACCAAGCCAATCCTGTCGCTCGATACTTCCTGTTGCTTTACCCTTGGCTGGGGCTCCACTGGCGGTCTCGCATCGGCGCAGCAAGGCGCGGGCATGTGTTTTCGAGGCGGGATATGTTGAAATTCCTTGGAGGAGTTGTTTGCAAGACCTCATTGGGCGGGATATCTGGGAATGGGAATAACGGACCCCCGCAATAGAACAATAATCCCCCATGATGGGGATGATTAATGATGGTCGCATGCTGCGTGTGGAAGCATCGCGCATGAGGGTAAAATTATTATTGTTGTTGTTGTTGTTGTTGTCGTCGTTGTGGTTGTGGTTGTTGTGGTTGTTTGCGTTCTTATTGTCGTCGTTGTTGTTGAATTCTCATTTCTGCAGAATAATTATTGTTGATCCCCCACCGGTGCACATGGTTTTTTCTCATAATCAAAGTGTGCCCGACGCTCGCACCTTGTTTTTTTATCAGGGAAAGTTTTGAGGCTCAAACTGTGCCCCTGGCCCCCGGGTTACAACAACAACGGCTTCCGCTTGAGATTTCCTCACAATTTAGCCAGGACCCCCGCTCCCGCCCGAGACTTCCTCGCATTTTACTCAGGAATCGCGCTCTCGCTTGCGACTTCCTTACAATTTATTCAGGAATCGCTCTCCAGGCTCTCTGGAGTCGCGCTCTCGCTGGAGATTTGCTGGCAATTTACTGAATAATAGCGCCTTTGCATGGGACTTTCTTGCAATTTACCCAATCGCCGCGCTCCCGACACCCAGGCACCCAGGAGTTGTGCTCACGCTTAGGACTCCCTCACAGATTACCTAGGAATCGGGATCTCGCTGCCCTTCGTGGCCCAGTTGCAGCCCTTCGTGGCCCCCTCGCTTTGTTTCGTGGCCCCATTGCAGCCCTTCGTGGCCCCTTCGCTGCCCTTCGGGGCTCCGTTGCAGCCCCTCGTGGCCTCCTCGCTGCCCTGCGTGGCCCCGTTGCAGCCCTTCGTGATCCCCTCGCTTTGTTTCGTGGCCCCGTTGCCGCCCTTCGTGGCCCCCTCGCTGCCCTTCGTGGCCCTGTCGCAGCCCTTCGTGGCCCCGTTGCAGCCCTTCGTGGCCCCCTCGCTGCCCTTCGTGGCCCCGTTGCATCCCTTCGTGGCCCCCTCGCTGCCCTTCGTGGCCCCATATATGTATGCCCTTCGTGGCCCCCGCTCGTTCGCGCCCGTGGTGGCCCCATATGCATGCCCT